TGGGATGAAGACCAGGAGCAGAATAAGAAATAATCTGATAGAAATATCTAGATCTGCTTGCTATACCTCAAAGATAGAACCTAGGAATGTAAAAGAAGCTTTACAGGATGATCTGTGGATCAAGGCAATGCAGAAGGAGCTACATCAGTTTGATAGAAACCATGTTTGGGATATAGTTTCAAGACCTAATCGTGTCAACATAATTGGAACAAAGTGGATCTTCAAAAATAAAACTGATGAAGCTGGGAATATTGCAAGGAAAAAAGCTCGGTTAGTGGCACAATGATACGCTCAGATAGAAGGAATTGACTATGATGAAACGTTTGCTCCTGTGGCTAGACTAGAGTCAATCAGAATTCTATTAGCTGTTGCATGCATTCTGGGATTTACACTGTTTTAGATGGATGTCAAGACAGCATTTTGAATGGATACCTGCATGAAGATATCTATGTGGCGCAACCTAAGGGATTTGAAGATCCAGAGCATCCATCACATGTCTACAAGCTCAGAAAAGCTCTCTATGGCCTTAAACAAGCCCCACGGGCATGGTATGAACGCCTGACATAGTATCTGCTATAGCATGGTTATAAACGAGGAAGTGTTGACAAAACATTATTCGTGAAAACCACTGGAAGTCATGTCACCATTGCTCAGATCTACGTGGATGACATTGTGTTTGGATCAACTTTACAGAAATACACAGATGAGTTAGTAAAAGTTATGAAGAAAGAATTTGAGATGTCCATGGTTGGTCAACTGACGTATTTCCTAGGATTGCAAGTTAAGCAAAGTCCTGAAGGGTACTTTATCTCACAAGAAAAGTACGTTAAGAATTTAGTCAAGAAGTTTGATCTGGAATCATGTAAACCATCCAGGACACCGATCTCCACCTCCACAAAAGTATCCAAAGACGACACAGGTGTATCAGTGGATAACACAGTCTACCGAAGCTTGATAGGAAGTCTGTTGTACCTGACGGCTAGTCGACCAGACATAATGTTCAGTGTTGGAATATGTGTAAGGTATCAATCTGATCCAAAAGAATCACACCTCATAGCTGCTAAACGAATTCTGAAATATATAAAAGGAACGATTCAATATGGACTATGGTACTCCAAGGACAGTGAACTGAGTCTGATTTCATACTTTGATGCTGACTGGGCAGGAAATATTGATGATCGTAAGAGTACATCTGGTGGATGCTTCTTTGTTGGTAAGAACTTGGTGTCGTGGCTGAGTAATAAACAGAATTCAATTTCCTTAAGTACTGCAGAGGCAGAATACATAGCTGCTGGTGGATGTTGTACTCAATTAGTATGGATGAAACAGATGCTATTAGACTATGGTCTTACTCAAGGAATTATGACACTTATTGTGACAATGTCAGTGCTATCAATATTTCAAAGAATCCAGTTCAACACTCCAGAACGAAGCATATTGATATAAGGCATCACTACATCAGAGACTTGGTAGAATCGAAGGAGATTGAGTTAGAATATATTCAAACAGAGAAACAATTGGCTGATATTCTGACTAAGCCCCTAGACGCAAACCGGTTTGAGATTCTCAGATCTGCTCTGGGAATCTGCAGGATTGACTAATAGAGCAGATCGTCACTCAGAAGGAGAGTGCATGGTTTACGTATACTGGTCAAATTTCAGTTTTGACTTCCTTTTAAAACTCCCTTCGTTTTTGTTAAGAGAATATCTTAACCTAAATTACAATAAAAGTGATTAGGCTTTTTCAAATTTCAAATATGCCTAGCATCCGTTTCTTGCCTAAAAAGGAGGTATATCGTTGCGTCAATCACATCGGATCTGCATGTATTCTGACTAGCTGCATTTATTGGGGTTCTTCTCCCTTAGGTTTATAATCGTTTACCGAGTCAGACTTGTGAGAACAAACAAGAGACTATCTCTGCACACCGTCTGTATTCTCTTTGATCTCCTATCTAGGGTTTACTTCTTCGTTTTCTCAAATCTCTGACCAATGGCGGATGCAATTCGTAACATTATCATCAAGCTTGGGAGAAAGGTTCATTCACAAGAAACAACCACCAAGCATGTCATAACCTTGCTCCAGTTGGCTATGAAGAAAAATTTGAAGCTTGATCCCCTCCTCCGCGATGAAATCATTATCACAGTACTGTCCGATTACCCAGAGTTCTATGCCGACTGGTCCGACAATGACACCAGTGAACTCTTGCTGCTGGCCTCCGAAGCAGGTGATGACGTTAATCCGGCATCTATTCCAGAGCCCTCAGATGGAAATCGCGCTGGGGCGTTCCTTCACTACTTTGTTCAAAGAGCCCTTGAGTCAGAAGAAATCTCCCGTCATCGAGTAGTTGCACGACCCCTATATCTTCAGGCTGCCGAGAATGAAGCCAGACATCGTCTTGAGATTCTGCGTAACAGGTCAAATACTTCTGACTCCCCTAGAAATTCCGCCAGATAAACCTGAGGGTCTAGTGTCTAATGCTGCCCCATCTTCTGTGCCTGTTAATTCTGAGAATGTGCCTCCTTTAATTCCTGTGAAATCTTCTGTATCTGTTGATCCCCCTTATTTACCTTCTGTGAAATCTGATTCTTTAAAAAGTGGGGCTCTTAATGTGTCTGAGGAGGAAGAAAAATCGTTTGATGAGCCCAACAATCGAAGCTTGGTTGTTTTCTCGGCTAATGATAATGCTCTGTCCTCTGCTGTTATTGCTGATGTCCCACAAGGAATAGATTTCTCTGTTAATCCATCTAATTTGCCTGCTGAGGTTGAAATTGTTAAGCTCTCAAGCCCTCGTGAGTCCGAGAAAATGGATGGAGTTCTAGTATACACCTCCACATAGGTAGGTGTGCTCTACCACATATGGCGAGCCCGCAACTTCAATTTGGGACAAGGCGTTTCCGGGGCCTGGGCAAACTTGGAGACGGGCGATGATGGCAGAAAACGCCTATCGGCAGGTTCACCATCGTCAGCAGCACCCGACGCCCTCAGTACTGCCGATAGCCAAGACACACACCAGACTAAGATGCTTTGTAGACGCTGGCTACAAGCAACCCACGGGAGATGCAACATACGGAATGGTTCTACTAGGCCACGATGGGTCTTTCGTTGCTGCAAAATATGGCAAGTTACCCGGTGCCTTTTCTCCGCTTATGGCAGAGACATTAGCTTGCAAGGAGGCTCTCTCATGGCTTAAGGAACACAATATACTGGAGGTGGACCTACCTACAGATTGCATGGAGCTACGGAACATCATACACTCAAGCTCAACGACAACTTTGTCATATATTGGAATGATTACTGACAATGTAGGACATCTATATCGTCATTTACTCATTGTTCTTTAAATTACATCTCTAGAACATTACATTTACCTGCTCATATTTTAGCTTCGTTAGCCTTTGATCAGGATCAATCTTTGTATTGGGACTCTATCCCTCCTTACTTTATTTCTATGCTCATTTAATAATACATGATCATTATTTAAAAAAAAAAAAAAAAGGTACCTCACGTTATTACTCTTATTAAATTAAATAAATTAGTAGCTACAACAAAAAATAATACATATACATTTAATTAATTTAGAATTAGATGTCTATTATGCCTTTATTCAAAAAAAAAAATTAAAAAGGGATATAATTTCATTAGTTATATTATCTTTATTTTTTACACTACAATTCGAAGATTCTTTACCTTCAATTTCATTAATTAATTATATTCACTACATTGTCCATTATCTTCTTTTTACACTAGCACTGTTTGGTAAAACAGTTAGCCTATTAGCAAAATTTGGGCAAATTATTGTGCGGACCATGGTTCACACAATGTTATGTGGACCATGATAAAAAGTACATTTTTAATATACTAAATGTACATTATTTTTGTACTGAATGTACATTAGACAATATAATGTACACTCAGAACAAAAATAATGTACATCCTCTGAATACAATGTACATTATTTTTGTACTGAATGTACATTATTTTTATACTGAACGTACATTATTTTACAGTAGACAAAATATGGTCCACACAACTTGTGTGGGCCATAGTCCACACAATAATGATTGCCAAATTTGGCTTATTTGACCACTATTAATTGTTTGATTTGGGTAAACAAAATCAATATAAGTGTTTGGTTATTTAGCTTTTTGTAACTTCAAAATGCTAAAATTCATAAAGCTACTGAAAACAACTTTTTCAATTAGCTTTTTGAGAAAAAAATTATACCAAACAATTATTAGCTAACAGCTAATTTACCAAACACCTTTCTACAACGAGCTAATGTTATCAACTAGTTATACCCTCTAATTAACCCAATCAGCTAACATCTAACAACCATTTACCAAACAGGGTCACTATCTTGTAATTAAATATCAAAGTTATAATACGAAATATGTTATATATTTATTTACCAAGTATTTTATACAAATATAATAAATATTAATATTTTGTTCAATTCTTTCGCATGATTATCTATGACAGACATCTCACAACACATAAAACATTTAGCGAAAAAAACTACCACTGCCAAATATCAAAAAGGCGCTTGCAAGATAAAAAATTCATAGTACAACCACGATCCCAGTCATATACCACTGCCCTCTATGCTACCACCAGTAACTCAATTGCACATGACACGCTGCTAATAAAGACGAAGAGGGCAATTACTAAAGAGGAAGACAATGACAATGCTACCCTAAAGAAAATTAAGAAGACTTAGAGACACTAGTACAAAAATGATCAAAAAAATCAAAGATTACATGTCCAAAATTTAAACTTTGGACATGTAATGTGGGAGGCGGTGGCACTTTTGTAATTAAAATGTCATTATATAAATAATTTTCTTTTGACGCACATTGTTGACGCGTTAATTTTAGAACACTATAGGCGTCAAAAGCTCTGTACTTTGGACGCCTATAGTCAACGCGTTTTTATAATACGCGTCAAAAGTTTCTAACTTTGAACGAGTATTATTTTTGTTTTCTCAACAAAAACCCTTGCAACTAGCCCCTATCGTCTTCACCCTTCTCCATCTCCATAAACCACCAATTACCCACAGCTGTCGCAGCTCTCCATTTCCTCGTCGCTCCTCGCATAGCTCCATCACCGCCATCGCCGTGGGAGTCGCTGTTGCGGTCGCTCCTCACACAGCTCCATCGCCGCCATCTCCGATCCAGCGCTATCACCTCGCCACAGGTCTCCAGCCCAGCCGACACCGCACTAGTATCCAATCTAGATTTATTACAAAGTTGCAAACATTTATTTTAATGACTGATGTGGATAAAACAACCATATGCTGGTACAAAAAGGTTATAGTAGAGTTACAGATAGACCGATCGTATATGATGACCGGGATCCTCTCTAATCTAGTACCAGCACTCGTGATAACTCATAGTTAAATGATTTCATTACAGTAACATTTTTTTTGGGTGTATATGGCACCCATCTGTTCACCAGTATAAGATTACTTCGAATTTGGTTCAAATTACGCTTTTATAGCTTTTACTCTTCTTCAAAAAAGGTCTAACCAAACGACCCTTTAACATGATACATATATGATTCTCAAATATTAAAGTAGCATTAACATTTTGCTTATCAACTCAATTATAAATATTAAATATTTAGTGTGTGTGAATGTATATTTTTACTAAGACCTACCTGGGCCTAGGTTTTCTTTTCTTAGAGACAAGCTATAAGTCACTAGTGTACCCTGCACTTAAGGGGGAGTATTAGGACTATATATATTTGAGTTAAATTATGATTCCCTATCCTAGTCTCCTTATGATTCTTTCTTATATATATACCTGTAATCTGTACATTTATAATTACATTAATTCAATACAATTCTATCAGTTCTTATATCGTGATAACTCATAGTTAAATGATTTCATTACAGTAACATTTTTTTTGGGTGTATATGGCACCCATCTGTTCACCAGTATAAGATTACTTCGAATTTAGTTCAAATTACGCTTTTATAGTTTTTACTCTTCTTCAAAAAAGGTCTAACCAAACGACCCTTTAACATGATACATATATGATTCTCAAATATTAAAGTAGCATTAACATTTTGCTTACCAACTCAATTATAAATATTAAATATTTAGTGTGTGTGAATGTATCTACAATCTATAATAAATCTAATAAGAGCTAATAAAATTAGTCCCTTAACGGGAACAAAAAAAAAATATTTGTGTAATTATTTGTTGAAACTAGTAGGTGCACCCGCGCGATGCGCGGCTATATATATATTATGATACATATACAGTATAATATAATTAGATGAAAAAATATATAGTTTGAATTCGTAATAGTATGATATATATACAGTATAGAATATAGTTATTAGACCTTTAAAAATGTAAAATGAAAAGTAGTGATTTTATTCGATATTGATGAAAATAGTAGTTTTATTATACATTAAGAGACTCTACCTATATAGTACATAAAATATGACGTATAATATAATAAGAATAAGAAACCTAATAAGAAACGTATTATTGAAACAAATTGTTAATTGTTATTATACATTATTGAAAACTTCTTTGTACACAACATTTTTAGTCGTACTAAGACATGTTACACTTTCCCCGCAAATCAAAATTTTCAGACCCCTGGGGTTACTAACTCTTGAAACAGCTACGTATAGTTGTCCATGGTTAAAGACCGGTTTTTTCAACAACAACCCAACTTTAGCAAGCGTTTATCCTTGACTTTTGTTGATTGTCATGGCATAGGATAGCATCAAGGGAAATTGCTTTCGTTGAAATTTGAAAGGCAATCTAGGATCTGACGGTGTAAGAGACATCCTAGGAATCAATACTCTGGTTCCTGCATTTGTACCGCACATGATTTGGCCTTCCAACACATGGTCAGCCAATCTTGTAACAATCAACCTTGTACCGTTGCATAATCCTAATGTGTGATCAATATTTCGCAACAGCATAACAGGTGATCCAACTTTCAATGTCAACGCATGATTTGGGACTCCAGAACATCTCAATGCATTCAAGAATTCCGGAGTGTGCAAATCCGCTAACATGTCCACATTGGCATCTGACTTACACACAGAATCACAACTCAGGTATGTCTTACTCTCAGCGGGATTATGGTCATTCATGTATTGGTTAACGGCATCTACCACATCCAATGTTGGAGCTAAAATTGCACTATGATTAAGATATGACAAATCGGCAAGTCCCAGTCGGAAATTGGGGAAAGTGCTATCAACAATTGTAGCAATAGGGTCATCTTCGCACTTTAACAACAAATCTTCTGGAATAGTAATCTCTGACTCCCCATCCAGTTGACACCCAATCATTCCGTCACCTATATTAGCTATCCATTTAGCAAATTCCTCGATCTCCTTGCACTCGGATTCTAATTGAACACTTTTCAAGCGTAGATTCTTAGTCAGCCTCAAGACTTTACAGGATTGCTATAGATAGGATGAGCTAATGCTCGCACGAACTATATCCGGTCTAGTACCCTTGGGAATGACTGGTAAAATTTGTCTGAAATCGCCACCCAAAACAACTGTTTTGCCACCGAATGTCATATCAGAACTCCTTGGATTTACGAAGCGCATCAAATCCCGCATAGTTCGATCCAAAGCTTCAAAGCAGAATTTATGCATCATTGGGGCTTCGTCCCATATTATCAGCTTTGTTTGCACAAGAAGTTCCGCCAGTTCACTGCCATTCCTTATGTTGCACGTGGAATCTTCATTAACAGATATCGGTATAGCAAATCTGGAATGCGCCGTACGACTCCCAGGTAATAACAGCGAAGCTATGCCGCTAGAAGCAACATTTAAAACTATTTGACTCTTAGACCTTAATGCGGAAGAAAGTGCTCGCCACAAGAAAGTCTTACCTGTCCCTCCATAACCAGATACGAAGAATAACCCACATTGCTGGCAATCGACGTCAGTTAACACTTCATTGTATATTGCCCTTTGTTCGTCTGTTAACTGCCTTACCAATTCTTGATTCTCTTTCTCTTGTTCTCCATGATCGTATGATAATTCTTCTTGAATCAACCTATTTGCAATAATGTTTAACGCACCAAAATTGGCCGTTGGCATCTCAGGATAGTCCTTCAAACTCTTACCATGATTAGATAATAGCTTTTCAATCTGAACTAAAGCAAAGTTCATTTTCTGCGAATCGGTCAACACAAACTCTACATACATATATATAAACATTTGTTGTTATAGCTCAAATACGTTAAATTTGACTTAATATTCTTTTAAAAATGTACGATTACCTCTGTTCTGCAGTTGTGTACGGTTCATATTATTTTGATTTTAGTATTTTTTTTATGATTTTCCTTATTTATCCTCTATTACATTATTTTCTTCCCTTAAATAACCCTGCATTCCATTAATATAAACTCTAGTAATGAAATATTCCGGTTAACTATTTATTATTCTTAACTTATTAATTTCTATAAGAAAAGTTTTTGGTTCGAACCCCATTAGAATTGGCATAATTATTAAATATATACTACGAATATGTTAAAATATATTAAAAATACAATATAAAATTTAACATAAACTTTAGTCAAATAATTAACCCGATTAATTACATCGCATTCAAAGTTGCATCAAAGATTTTAAATCAGGAACCTTGAAAATCATTTTCTTGCATTTTAAAAAATAACAAATTTAAGTTTTTTTTTTTTTTTTTTTGAAAATAACAAATTTAAGTTAATTGTTTTTTCTTTGTTTTTTTTTTTCGTTTATTAATCTTCTTTTGATTATTTCGAACAAGACTCAATATTTCAATTATGCTTTTCTATTAATCGAATGATTTAGGTCATTATGGTATTAAAAATTTTTGTATGTATTTCTATAATGGTACCTTTGCAAATATTGTACTATTATTTTATTTATTAGACAAAATTGTTCTTACATCATTGTCAGACCTGCGTGACCTAAGTACAAAGTTGTTGATCAGAAATACAATTATACCTAAATTCTAAAACGGTAGGACCATTTTTCAAAGAATTTACAATGTTGACATCTCACTATTCCAATTGAACAAGTTTACACATCATTATCTGAATTTTATCAATACATGAAAACCTCTAAATAAATTTGTAAGTTAATTTTTACTAAATTATTATAACAATAACGATATCTATTGTAACCATATATTTCGAATTATATATTATCATCCTCTATTGACAACAATTTTAGCAATTGTTATTGACAAACTCACAAAACAATTTGTCTCAACAACGAATAGAAATTTAAAAAAAAAAAATTAATGACTTTATTGTTGTTGATGAAAAGTAAGTACCCCACTTTAAACCACCACTAATAATCTGATTATAAAGAGGGTAGAAGTGAGCCCTGCATGCCCAATGTGTGATCTAACTCATGAAAATGTTATGCATGCTCTAATTTCTTGTGATTATTCTAGGATGGTTTGGAATGTTTTAGAATTACCTATTGCAAATATTATGACACATTCTTTTCCATTATGGCTTATGAGTATGTTGAACACCTTGACAGAGGAGCAAATTGGGGTGGCGGTAGGTGTGCTCTACCACATATGGCGAGCCCGCAACTTCGCAGTTTGGGACAAGGCGTTGCCGGGGCCTGGGCAAACTTGGAGACGGGCGATGATGGCCGAAAACGCCTATCGGCAGGTTCACCATCGTCAGCAGCACCCGACGACCTCAGTACTGCCGATAGCCGAGACACACACCAGACTGAGATGCTTTGTAGACGCTGGCTACAAGCAACCCACGAGAGATGCAACATACGGAATGGTTCTACTAGGCCACGATGGGTCTTTCGTTGCTGCAAAATATGGCAAGTTACCCGGTGCCTTTTCACCGCTTATGGCAGATGCATTGGCTTGCAAGGAGGCTCTCTCATGGCTTAAGGAACACAATATACTGGAGGTGGACCTACCTACAGATTGCATGGAGCTACGGAACATCATACACTCAAGCTCAACGACTAGTTTGTCATATATTCGAATGATTACTGACCAATGTAGGACATCTATATTGTCATTTACTCATTGTTCTTTAAATTACATCTCTAGAACATTAAATTTTCCTGCTCATATTTTAGCTTCGTTAGCCTTTGATCAGGACCAATCTTTGTATTTGGACTCTATTTCTCCTTACTCTATTTCTATGCTCATTTAATAATACATGATCATTATTTTAAAAAAAAAAGGTACCTCACTTTTTTACTCTTATTAAATTAAATAAATTAGTAGCTACAACAAAAAATAATACATATACATTTAATTAATTTAGAATTAGATGTTTATAATGCCTTTATTCAAAAAAATATTCATTATAAAAAAAATTAAAAAGGGATATAATTTCATTAGTTATATTATCTTTATTTTTTACACTACAATTCGAAGATTCTTTACCTTCAATTTCATTAATTAATTATATTCACTACATTGTCCATTATCTTCGTTTTTACACTAGCACTGTTTGGTAAAACAGTTAGCCTATTAGCAAAATTTGGGCAAATTATTGTGCGGACCATGGTTCACACAATGTTATGTGGACCATGATAAAAAGTACATTTTTAATATACTAAATGTACATTATTTTTGTACTGAATGTACATTAGACAATATAATGTACACTCAGAACAAAAATAATGTACATCCTCTGAATACAATGTACATTATTTTTGTACTGAATGTACATTATTTTTATACTGAACGTACATTATTTTACCGTAGACAAAATATGGTCCACACAATTTGTGTGGGCCATAGTCCACACAATAATGATTGCCAAATTTGGCTTATTTGACCACTATTAATTGTTTGATTTGGGTAAAAAAAATCAATATAAGTGTTTGGTTATTTAGTTTTTTGTAACTTCAAAATGCTAAAATTCATAAAGCTACTGAAAACAACTTTTTCAATTAGCTTTTTGAGAAAAAAAATTATACCAAACAATTATCAGCTAACAGCTAATTTACCAAACACCTTTCTACAACGAGCTAATGTTATCAACTAGTTATACCCTCTAATTAACCCAATCAACTAACATCTAACAACCATTTACCAAACAGAGTCACTATCTTGTAATTAAATATCAAAGTTATAATACGAAATATGTTATATATTTATTTACCAAGTATTTTATACAAATATAATAAATATTAATATTTTGTTCAATTCTTTCACATGATAATCTATGACAGACATCTCACAACACATAAAACATTTGGCGAAAAAAAACTACCACTGCCAAATATCAAAAAGGTGCTTGCAAGATAAAAAAAATTCATAGTACAACCACGATCCCAGTCATATACACATGAAAGCAAATCTAAAACTTTCTACACCATAATCTCATTGCATGACGCTACCCTCTATGCTACCACCAGTAACTCAATTGCACATGACACGCTGCTAATAAAGAAGAAGAGGGCAATTACTAAAGATGAAGACAATGACAATGCTACCCTAAAGAAAATTAAGAAGACTTAGAGACACTAGTACAAAAATGATCAAAAAAATCGAAGATTACATGTCCAAAATTTAAACTTTGGACATGTAATGTGGGAGGCGGTGGCACTTTTGTAATTAAAATGCCATTATATAAATAATTTTCTTTTGACGCACATTGTTGATGCGTTAATTTTAGAACACTATAGGCGTCAAAAGATCTGTACTTTGGACGCCTATAGTCAACCCGTTTTTATAATACGCGTCAAAAGTTTCTAACTTTGAACGCGTATTATTTTTTTTTCTCAACAAAAACCCTTGCAACTAGCCCCTGTCGTCTTCACCCTTCTCCATCTCCATAAATCACCAAATACCCACAGCTGTCGCAGCTCTCCATTTCCTCGTCGCTCCTCGCATAGCTCCATCATCGCCATCGTCGTGGGAGTCGCTGCTGCGGTTGCTCCTCACACAGCTCCATCGCCGCCGTCTCTGATCCAGCGCTATCACCTCGCCACCGGTCTCCAGCCCAGCTGCCACCGCACTAGTCTCCAATCTAGCGTTATTACAAAGTTGCAAACATTTATTTTAATGACTGATGTGGATAAAACAACCGTATGCTGGTACAAAAAGGTTACAGTAGAGTTACAGATAGACCGATCGTATATGATGATCAGGATCCTCTCTAATCTAGTAAGTAGCTTAATCCAAAAGTCCCTCTCTCCAGCATTTAATGCGGTATTTATAAGAGACATAGGGAACAACACCCGGCCTTCCGGCATGACGGGCACGTGGCGCCCATGCACCGGGTCCAGTCGAGGCGAACATGCAGTCACGCACATGGCGTGAGTCCTCTGCCAGCAAAGGGGCCCAGCCCCGCCCGGCCGGTCCTCCCGGTCACCGACCAGAGAGGGGCAGGGCCAACTGAACGTCCCAGCTTCACGAGACGACCGGGTGACCGGGAGGCCCGGCCAAAGGGGCTGACTGAACAGCTTAACAAGCAGCCTTCAAGCGGGTCAGGTGACCGGGCAATACGACCCGATCCGATCAGGGTATAATCCCCATTAATGACAGTTATAATCAATCTCTCATATATTATGTTGCATTTATATACTTTGAATTACTGATTTAAATATACAAATTTAACATTTAATTAGCTATGCATGAACATCTACTATATAATCTTATATTGATATATTTTGAAGTAATCATTAAGCAAAAAACTTGTATACTATAGAAAATCCCAAAAATCTTGTGATGGTCATGGTAGCTCATCAATAAGTTAGTTTTTGGCATTAATATTTATGTTATTGTATATATGCACAACTCAATCCAATCATCATAGACATGCATGATGACCCATCATATTATATCCACGCATGACCGACACCTTGAACATGGCCATGAATGAGAGAGAAAGAGATAGAGAAGAAAAAGAAAAGGGTTTTGGTGCCTAGCTAAGCTAGCTAGCTTCACTGACCTCTGCTGCGATCTCTCCGGCCTTTCAATTTCAGTCCAATTCTTCTCAGTACCTTTATTTCACCCCCAATCCCACACCATACCGGCCACCTACAATCAGATCAGAGATCCAAGGTGGGGTTTATGTTAATTTCTCTCTCTGTCAACCCAATCCATCAATCAATCAATCATACCCAACGCAGCCAGGCATTCAATTTCAAAAGAACCAAACATTATTATAATGTCATTCTCTTCCTCATCGTCTTCTTCATTGGACCACCGCTCTCCTCTCCCTCCCTCCGACCAGCTCTGTTATGTTCATTGCAACATCTGCGACACTGTCCTTGCGGTACGACCATCCTTATATTCTATAATCTAATTTGCTTTTCTCCCACTTCATCGTTCTATTCTATTATCTTGAAAGATTATACCGCACTTATTACATGATTGCATCGTACCTGTATACGACACCTGGATACGATGGCACTGTCTGATAGCCGTAATAGTACAATCATATAGTAGATGTGGTGCAATATTTCATAAGTTCACAGTTTAGAGGTTAAAGTTATTTTCACTTAATTATGGACCTATATATGTATAATCTAATTTGCTTTTCTCCAACTCCGTCGTTATACTTTATAATTTTGAAGGATTGCACCACAAGGTTCCAGGCATGTTTGAGAGCTGTAGCAGTGCAATCATGTAGTAGTTACGGTGTAATGCTTCACAAATTTGCAGTTCGCGGATTAATGCTTATTTTCACCTGATTATGGACTATGTATCGTGTGTGTGTGTTTGTATTGTGTATGTACTATGTACTATTTCTTTCATCACCTGCAATTAGCTAGGTTTGCTCTACCACTCTTTACTCTACACTACTGGAAATTATGTAATTTCCAACCACCTGATAGTGATCTTAAATCAAGTCAAAAGCCTTGTTTTGACCACTTTTGGTATCGGGAAAAACCTTTGTTGCTATTTCCGACCACTCTTTTATTTTCAACTTGATTTAAGATCCCTTTCAAGTGGTCGAAAATTCCATAATTTCCGGCAGTGCTAGTGCCGGCCACCGTAATAATGGAAGGATTAGTTCATAGAAATTTTAGTTGATAATTAGTTGAGTGTACGTACTAATTAATTAGTTTAAGTTGTAACGTAACATAGATATATGTATGTATGTTTTTAGGTTAGTGTTCCATGCACGAGTTTGTTCAAGACCGTCACCGTCCGATGCGGCCATTGCACCAATCTCTTGCCTGTCAACATGCGCGGTTTGATTCTCCCCTCACCGCCGCCTAATCATCACCACCTTCACTCTTTCTTCTCTCCTTCCCATAACAGCATTCTGGTAATATAATATAAAAAGTTTTTAAGGTTTTCTTTATTTATTTTGTTTTTGTCGTTAGTTGTTGCAATTAGCTAGCTAGGTTACCACTTGTAACATTTAATTAATTAATTTCAGGATGAAATTTCCAACTCCAACCCCAATTTCTTGATGATGAATGTTCATCATCAAGCTGCAGCAGCTTCATCAGCTGAGTTTGTGTTGCCTCTTCGAGCTGCAGGATTTGATGAGCTTCCACGCCCACCACCTCTCATTAACAGACGTATATCCTAATTAATTTTTCATTCCTTAACTTTTTTCATCTACCATTAGAATTTAAGATTAAACCGAAATCATACTTTATTATGGATTCTAATGGTTTCAGCTCCCGAAAAGAGACAAAGAGTTCCCTCTGCATACAATCGATTCATCAAGTAAGTAACCGATCCGACCATCTCTCCAAGCTAAGACTCTTGATATTTAGTACTTACATGGATTTGATTAATTTAAGAATTAATACTACAAATGGCCCTCTGACTCTTGCGATATTTAGTACTCCTTTTAGTTATTAACTTCCAATTCGACCAAAACATATACCTTTAACTTTCATATTTTATCATAAATAGTCCTATGTTAAATGGGTGTTAAATCTAAGAATTATTAATACATTAGTTTAACTAAAATCAAAATGTCTCATTATCTTTTTTGTGTCAACTTGCTTGCCAATTAGGGATTACCAGCTACCCAGTAGTTCTGTAACTCAATAACCACATTTATCTTAAAGATTAGAGCTAGAAACCAGTTTGATTGTTAGTACTTAGTAGTAGTTTATAATTGCATGTTTGATTACTATTGATTACCTATTGGACGCCTCCGGTGATTAAGAATTCTCTTGTAGTCCAATTTTCAAACATTCCAGTAATTAGGGCATAAACTATTATATTCTCTTGGAGTTAGCTTTGATTTGATGATAATATCTTAAGATATAATATCCATTTAATATAAATTTTAATGGATGACTATTTGTGATAAAAAATGAAAGTCAATGGATGTGTTTTAATCGATTTAAAAATTGATGAGTAAAAAGAGTACTATATCCCAATAGTCAGTGGAATATTTGTGGTATTAACTCTTAATTCAAAGTTTGATATACATACTGATAATTTCTGGAAGAATGAACTTTTTATTTTTTGGTAATTATATTGTTGTTCGATTTATGAGCTGAGATTGGAATATGAATTTTTAATTTTAAAAGTAGCAAAATTAATTAATTTATTTGTTCAACTGGGATTACTTACGAGCCGTTGATTCAAAAAGGTTGTGGATGACATGACTGATGATATACTTTTGTAAATGGTGATTGGGTGTGCGGTTTGATGCTACGTTGAATGTACAGGGAAGAAATACAACGCATTAAAGCTGGAAATCCTGACATCACTCATAGAGAGGCCTTCAGTGCTGCTGCTAAAAATGTCTGTTAGTTATTTACTGCTAAATTACTTACATTATATATATATATATATATATATATATATCCATAATAATTAACCTGTAAGAACTTGCGAATTTCTGAATAATTGTACCGTACTTACTATATGATTGCACCACCACATTCGAATACGATTGCACCGCAAGGTCCTCCAAGTATATATGTGAGTTGTAACAGTGCAATTACATAATAATTGCGATGCAATCCTTCGAAAATTCACAAGCTCGTTATTATTTTTTATGATTCTATATATATGTTTATTACCTTCATATATATACACTGTACGTACAGCCTAGGGCGTTACATTGTATTTGTGTTTCTTGCTAAATTCTAGCTTGTTCTTGTTCTTTCAGTGGGCCCATTTTCCGCACATCCAATTTGGGATCATGCCTGATCATCAGGCTACTGTCAAGAAGTCTAATGTGCGACCACAGGTAGATTACTGCAGTCCAATTTTTGATAATTTTATTTATAAAAATCACATTTTTCTTCCTTTATAAATTTAGTTCAATTCCATCTTCTTCTCTTTTTTTTTTTTCTTTTTTTTTTTTTTTTTAACTTTTACAAATTTAATTTTTAAATTGTTAAACGAATTGTAAATTTTGTATATTGACTAATTGAGATATATCAAACTTTGTTTGTAACTTCAAATCTACTTTTTATATTCTTATAAAACCCTATATACAAATTGAGGCGTATGTAACTAAATTTGCAAGGCGTTTAAAAAGTAATGGGTACTGGTCAAAAAAAAAAAACGTGTAAATGGGTATATATATTTTCCTATCAAAAAAAAAATGGGTATATATATTTATAAAAATTGAAAGAATAACGGGATCGGAGATTTAAAAGTCTGACTTTAGTTTTAGAAAAATACTTGGTGAACTTTCATTTTATTCCCAACTATTACTTTATCTCACATGTTCTTGATGTACACTTTTCTATGGACCCACGTGATGAAAATAACTAATTCTTATTTGTCCGATCCTCTCAGGAAGTAGAATTAAGAGAGTAGAATTTAGGAGTATGCATACTAGAACTCTTACTTTTATTGTACATGAGTTAATATAATTGACTTAAAATCATAGCTATAAATACTTGGTGTAAAGAGTTGTACTATTCTTAGAAAATCTTAAAACTGAGCATGTTTTTAATAAGAAATGGTTGGTTGGTGTGTATAGTAAAACCATTTTTCTTGAATTTTATGATTAAATAAATAACTTGTAGTCAAGAATCTTGTGGTCCAATGGCACCAAGTTGTTTCTGTATATGAAAGGTTATGGGTTTGAGCTTCAGTGGAGTCACATATTCAAAAGAAGATAAATAAATGACTTGTAGATACATATATTTTTTTGTTTCATTTATTTATTAATTGTTTTTGGGTGATAGGATGGAGAAGATATGCTGATAAAAGATGGATTGTTTGCTTCAGCAGATGTTGGTATCTCCCCTTACTAGAAGAGACATCAACCAGAGTGCTACTATCCACAATCTCTCTCTCTCTCTCTCTCTAGGTAGCCAAGTGTATGTTTAGTATCTTAATGTAATCTGTAGCCTTAATTAAATAGGGTTAAGATACCCTTTAATTACTATCAATGAAGAACTTCTATATGTGGATATTAATTAGTTCTCCTATATCATGTTCTTCTTGGCTTGCTTTTGCTTATTTAATTTTTTTTTTTTTCTTATGCAATAGCACTCACCATTTTTTTTTAAATTTTTTATTTTAGTTTCTTTGAAGACTCGAGTATTCAATAATCACATTGCGCTCCAATTAATTTGAAATTAGTTATCTTGAAACCCTAAGTAGGTGTAGCTCCAATTATTTTATTTTCCATTAATTTATCCTTTCCTAAACCAGTATATATTTTAAAATATTATTCCAATTGATTGAGTTATTCCAAAACAATTTGTCTCAACAACGAATCGAAATTAAAAAAAAAAAAAATCAATAACTTCATTGTTGTAGATGAAAAGTAAGTACCTCACTTTATTACTCTAATTAAATTAAATAAATTAGTAGCTACAATAAAAAATAATACATATGCATTTCTTTAATTTAGAATTAGATGTCTAAAATTCCTTTCTTCAAAAAATATTATTCATTATCAATTTTTTTTTTTTTTTAAAAAAGAGATATAATTTCATTATTAGTTATAATATTTTTTATTTTTTACAATTCAAAGATTCCGTACCTTCAAATTCATTAATTAATTATATTCCAAAAAATTTTAAAAAGGGTGTAAACCACGAGGTGGTCCGAGTCTACCCGACTAATCCCCGTTCGCTTCGAGAAGATCATCGCTTGTGGGATCGAATCCAGGTTATCCCAAAATTCTCCTCCACAAAGAGAGCTCATTTACCATCTGAGTTACCACCATAGGTTATTGAAACATTCATTGATCTTGTATGTAAAATACTTATTATGCATCCTTTAAATATATTAGAACTAATATAAATTAACAATTCATTTTATTTTCTAGACTCAACCTATTTGGATTAATGACAAAATCAACATCAACCTTGACGAAAAAGAAAAAAAAAAAAAAAACCACCTAGTATTTAGACTACCTGTAGAATCATTATTGTTATTATCAAGTAAACAAGTTATGGAACTAGAAGAAGAGGTACTACTCATGAACCTTCTACAAATATAATATAATAAATATTAATATTTGTTTAATACTTTCACATGAGAATCTACGACACACATCTTACAACAAATGAAACATGTACGGAAAAAAAAAAAAAAAAAAAAAAACTATCACTGCCAAATATCAACAGGCGCTTGCAATGACAACGCTACGCAAAAGAGAATTAAGAAAACTTAGAGAAATTTAAACTAAAAGTAGTACATATTTAGACTATCGTTTCTAGACTAAGTATTTAGACTAGCGTATTACAAAGTTGCAAACATTTATCTTAGTGACAATTATATTCAACCTCTCCTATATTATATTACAATTATATACTTTGAATTACAGATTTAAATAAATAAATTCAACATTCAATTACTTATTCATTAACATCTCCTATATAATCTAGCATTGATATACTTTGAAGTACTTATTTTAAAATAATCATTATTGGGCATGATGGTTTTATCGGGATTGAGTCCACCATAAAACGGGTATAGAGAATATAGAGCGGGGGTAGGAAAATGGTACTATAATTACTCAGGGCGTGAGGCCCAAAAAGTATGTACAATGCCCAATAGACCCCAGCCCAAATAATAAATATATAAATAACTGTACGACTAATGAATAAATATAATCAAATAGCCAAATTATATTACCACCAGAAATTGAACCCAGACACACCACCAGGGAGGAGAAGATCCAAACCACCTAACTAGGGAGGAGATAGTGTCTTAAGAGATGATCATACATGGACCAAACCCCCTCCTTTTATACTGTTGGTGGATCTTCCTACACCCTCCATGTGTACGACATCAGGATGGCTTCAATCCCCACTAGACACGCGTCCCACGTCTTCCCATCGTGCGACTACCCCAACCACCTACCCAACCACACACCCATGGACCACGGAGCGACGCGCGAGATGCGGGTGTGCCACTAGCGCACAAAGAATCCAGGGGCGCGCCGACACACCCGAGGCTGCCAGGCTGCCAAGGGCGCACCAACGCGCCTTAGGCTACCAAGCCGCCTGGGTGGCGGCACAACCAGCCGCCACCTGGGCGCCCGAGTGCACTGTCGGGGCGCGACCGGCCTCGTGCAGCCAGCACCGCCGACGCCTTCGTCCTCCTTGCGTCACCACCTCACACCTTGCACCGTCAGTTCATCTGCCTTGCACTAATGTCCCCCGGGCTTGCCTTGCACCCCATTTTTGGGCCTGGCCCCGACAAATTAAAAACATATGCCCAATATCCCACTACCCCATCATAACTCCCCCACTTCTTCTAGTTATTAAATGGTAATAAATAAGATAACTATAAAAACAAGCTCACCAAGACATTTCCCATCCTGAACCAGTCAGGAACTTCTCGTGGGTGTCTCTTCACTACCGGCGGTACCCCCGTACTTCCAGATTCACAACCTAGCCCTCTCTCTTCGTATCCGCCATCTTCTCCCTAGGAGGCCAGGCGATTTTAGGGGTGCGACCTCCCATCCCTATCATCCCCATTTCATAGACTCCACCGTCAGCGTACGGGAGATGACACCTGTCTTTAGGCAATTTTGGATAGGTAACGACATTCTTTAAGAAGGTTCTTGGTGCTCATGCGATGTCGCACGTGCAAGCGTTCCTTAATTTTTCATTTATTTTTGAGTAGCTCAGAAGCTACCGTAGCCGTGAGGCTATTCTAGTTGTTTTTTTTTTTTTTTTTGGATAAGAAAGCGGGGATCGAATTTACCTGTCTTTATTGTCGGCTCGGCAGTCGGCCATGCGGCTGTGGCACTTCATAAGCACCTTAGGGTCATGTCAATGACATATGCCCGGGCGGAGCTGGTGTGCCAAACCTAGGGAGCTGAACTTGAGGCCTACTGCTCTTCGCGCCTGGTTTTTCCAAGTTCAACTGAGGGACCTGCTGCCCCGCATTCCTGAGTGAGCCAGGGGTTTGTCCCGGTCAACTTATAATTTTTGCTTCCTATTTGGTGGTAACACTCCTTTCGTCCTACTTAGTCGCCGTGTATTTTTCCTCCATCCTAATAAAACATTTGAAATTTGTGTTGCTTTGCGTTCTAACTCCCTCCTTCATATCCCTGCATCCTGCTTGAGTCTCTAAGGTTGTGGGCTGCCTGCTACCTTATGCTAGCACCATGCACCTGGGTTGCATACCTTTCCCTACATGCCCAGGTGGACAAGGGTACTCGTCGAATTTTAGGGATCGCGTCCAGTTAGCTCGAAAATACTGCTTTTAAGGTTGTGAGCTGCCTGCTACCTCATGCACACACTTTCTTTTTTCGTTTTGTTTTTCTTTTTTATTTTAGTGCAGGCTGGGTTAAGTATCTTTCCTTGCATCCCTAGGTGGAGAAGGACATTCGCCGAGTTTAAGGGATCGTGTCCCATTAGCTCGGAAATACTACTTTTAAGGTTTTGGGCTCTTCTGCCTCATGCTAGCACCACAAACCTTTTTATTTTTTTATTGCACGTTGAGTTGCATACCTTTCCTCGCAAGCCCAGGTGGAGATGAGTGTTACTCGGGCCTTTACGCCAAGTTAGTAGTAAGATAGTTCAAAATGTGAAGGCGTGCAAGAAACTTTTATGCAGGTAGCAATGAAAATGCATGTACAGGTTGCATATAAATACCTCGTGGGATTAATCTTGCATGATATTTCTCAAAAAGTGCCCCAGCTATTGGAAGAAACGCCTCAAGTGGTGTGGTTCCAGAGGTGGCTCACTGAATGCCCCTCCCAATTCTTAGGTAGTTGAACCCCTTGGAGAGGTTTGCTTGTAACACCCCCGATTTTTACCACATTTTTAAAACTTAAATGCATAGGAAAACATCTAATCATCAAGACATAAAACAACGGAAGCTATATTAAACCAGGGTATGTTATGCCACACCTATCTCAGATATAGGTGCATAGGCGGGAAAACTAATCAATTCAACAAGTCATAAAGATTCAAGGCACACAGGCTGCTCAAAACATAACGTCTAGACAAGGTAACTAAGTTATCTATCAACCCAAGTCTAGCGCTCTTGGGCATCTACTCCCAACCTATAGAACAAGGGAAAAACATGGGGATAACACCCGGTCAGCGAACATTGCTGGTAACCCATCAATACGTGTTAAATAACATATATAGATAAGTATAAGACAAAACCATTTTGAAACGGAATACAGTATATATCATTTCAAAACCATAGAGAGAAGTCAACTTCAATGACTCATTAACACTCTCAAAAGGAAAAAGGAATCACCATCCTTACAACCACAACAAGGCAAGAAACATGAAAGACAAAACAACTCAAGATGCATTCTACTGATCACAAAGTAGAATACATCGAGACATGCTCATAAGCAAAGATTACACATTCACATAACGGCAACTACATGCTGCAGTGACAACTACATGTCACAAGTAACATAGTTCCAAGTTCCAACCTTATGGCTACCCCCGGTCTTATTTCAGTTCCAACCATTACCTCCGAGTAACCCCTGTACTTTTGAGTCCAACCTTATACCTCTGGGAACCGTCGTCCCCCCACCAACATTTCCACCTACATATCAGTACACAACGGTACGATTCATTTCACACAACCACCAACATGTGAGCCAAGCTCAAATAACAACCACCAACATATAAATCATAGTCACACAAGTCATCATCATTACCAAGAAGACTAAGGTTCCACAATAACCTTAATCAAGTATCAATCAAAGAGTACAACGATTACATACGTTCACATCATAGGAATCAATCAATGGATCACAACAAAGACATGAAATCATACTCAACAACGAAGGATCACAATCCAACACCAAATGATTGTTAACACAAGTTGCCAATCCCAATAGGAAAGAACAAACCACACATACTAGTATTTCAACATCAAACTAGCATGCTTATAAAATGGGTAACCAAAAGTCGTTCCAAAGAACATTCAAGACCCACAATAGCCCAACGAATCACAAAGTCGGACCCTTAGCATGAT